TTATGCATTATTATGTTGACAGATATGTGGGAATTTTTAATTGGGAGGAGAACGAATTGTGCCCAAAGTTCATGGGGTTTTAGGAGCTGGACAGTCTTCCAAAAAAGAGAATTAATTCATAAAACCAAACGATTTGGGTATGCCCTTTAAACATTTCCTCTAAACGGAGCCTCGGAAAAAAAATTAATATCGGCGAAATTGGGAATGTCCGAGAATCTCAGATAAGTCATCTATGCGTTTAGTTACTAAGAAATTGTAAATAAAATTTGTATAGGCACTCGGTTAGGAGAAGTTCGTCCAGTGTTCCATTTTTCAGCTCAAAATTAAATAACGAAAGTCTTCGAACCGAGTTAAATATGTAAATTATAGATTGTCACTTGTGTAAAGAGAAAGAGGAACCTGAATTCTCCCGTGTTCAAATTTTTAATTGGAGGGATTGTTTATTAGTTAGTAATGAAAAACGTGGTCACGTATCATTTCGAAGAATCTTGGAAACTGTATGCTCAGATTTACTGGAAGGCTGTAGGGGAAGATTGAAATCGACGATTGTTCAAAATTTTAATACATGGCTATATTTTGACTTTGCGTAATTATCAAGGTAGTCCGAAAAGATAAGTTCAGGGGCGGACTGGCACGGGGGGGGGAGGGCGGGTGGCGATTGCCACCTGGCCTGTAGATCATAATGGCCCGTTGGAAATTTATAAGTATGTGCTGTATTTAGTTTCTTGCACTATTAATAAATTATTAACACGTTTCTGGAGGATTCTACAGGCCACATTCTATAAGAAAATTTTTTTTCCGGGTCGACCTGAGACAATTTTTTTTTCGGGGCTCAAAAAAAGGCAGTGTATAACCTTCCTTTTTTACCAAAAATCGACTACACCAAAATTTCTCGGGAAAACACTTTTTCTTATTAATTTGAGTGCGTAGAATCCAAATCAATTCGTACTTTTTCGATCAGACTTCTCAATCAAAAGTTGTGGACTAGAAACCAATTTCGAAAGAAAATTCAAAGGGCTGTAACTTTTGAACTATTGTTTTTACTGCATCCATTGATCACACCTGACACCTCGTATCAGTTAAAAGTGAATCGTTGAAAACGTTGTTAGGGTATGTGAATGTATACCTAAGTTGTAGCGTTAATTTTCGCAAAAATACCTGAATTCGTTAATCCTAAAATTAATCACGTTTAATTGCCCTCTGCATTTGGTTGAAATAATGTTTACCTACCAAATTAAAAATTATAACAACTGAAAAGATGAAATGAAATTTAAAATTATGATAATGGATATGACCGAATAATATAATTGAAGGGAGTGTCGCAAATTGGTCCCTCTGCTGTTAAAAGTGCCATCATTTTTTATGTTCGTTGACAGATGACATTATGTTTTTTTTCACATTTCAACATTGGAACATGTTAACATAAGGGCATACGCCTAATGAGGAAAAGTGAAACGACCGTCACACACAAGACAAAAAGTATCCAATGGTTTCTTTCGTTATAACAGTTTAAACGAAAGCAGGTTAACGACCATTAAATTAACGGCGAATAAACGAAACAATAAATTTTCACAATTGTTTATCCGCAAACCACTTTCCTCTAAATTTGTCTGTTTAAAAACTAGAACCGCAAAAGAGAACCGGTATCCTATGCAGATTTACAATAAGTATCGTGGTACTTGTAAGCCATGACCTTTAATAGTTTTAAGAATTATTCTTGGCAGTAGCCAGTTTTTCCGTAGCACATTTTCCTCTGCGATAAAGGATTAAATAAGGAAGTCGAAATTAGTGAAGCAACTTAATGCTTGGGATATATGGAATAATTAATAAAATCTTATTGAAGTACTTATAGATCTCCTAAGATGGCATAACCATTATGGCACATCAATCAAAGGCATCAGAGAATACAGAGTCTTTACTAATTAATTACACATGAACAGTGTTTAAGTAGCTCAATAATTATCAATACTGTGAAGGAAATTATTGAAATCTGGAAGAAATTCATTAAAACTGGTATAATTTGTTACACTGAAAGTTCCCTAACGATTCATATCTGCAACCATTTATACGCAAGACCATTAGTACCAGACTGGTAGTTTCGCTTAATGTAAAATTTTGACATTTACAGGGCGGATACAAGCACCAAATTTTGCATGAAGCTTCTCGAGATCCTAACAAACAATTTTCAAAGAGTTGCCACTTCGAGAGGTTAGTGGGAACCCGTTTTATAAGGGTTCGAATGCCCGAAAATTGACATTTTGTCATTTTTCTTAGAAACTTGAATTTTTTCATTTTTTATCATCAGTTCAATTTTGTGGGGCCAGAAAAGACCTTTAAAATGATACCAAACATGTATACTTTCCACTTCTTATATATACCTATCTTGGCAAACATTAATTTTTGGAACTGATTTATTGTTTCCTTGTTTTTGTTTTGAGAAACTAGTTTTCCCAGAAATTCAATATTGACTACATTGCGTTATGGTATAGATGGATAAACCGGTAAAAATCGGCTACACAAATTTCATATTTCATGCACCACTAACATTTCAAGGGTAGATACACATTTTACGGATTTCATAAATATTTTAATGTTTCGATTTTCTTTAATATTTCACATATTACAACTGCCTGTAATATATATTTCTATAATTTCACAAATTTCAAGAATATTTAACTGAACCACCTTTAATTTCAATTAACTGGTGGTTAGGTCCATTTAAAAACATGTTAATCTATTAAATATCTTGATAATCCGATGTGCAATATTATTTTTCTTCCACCATTGTAAGCGTGAGAAAAAATGCTTCAGTTTCCCGATTTGGCCAACTTCGTAACTGCAATAAGAACAATGTTAGCAATGGTGCCGACTTCCCTTTATGCGTTTGTATACAGCACGTTTCAATCAAGTATGCGAAAAAAAGAATAAATGATAGAGGGAACCAAAGCAAAATAGACTAAGGCCCAACATATGAGCTACGCCCTCAAAAGTTTTTAAATCTTCTCAGAAAACACACCAGATTTAAGAATGGAACTTGCCACATTGGCTAGGTTTCCTATGCTCTAGAATGAATGAAAATATTTCACCACCCCGTAGACAGAGGTGCGTACAAAAATTTCGATAGACATGACGTACTCTAAGCATATAATTGCATGAATGATGTATTTTTATAATATAGGTACATATATGTAGTACTAAAAAAAGAGAAAAGGAAAACCATAGATAAAAAATAGGAAAACAAAGAAAAAACCACTTAAATATAACTCGGCGGTTGCAAATACATAAATAAATGACATAATTCTCAACATTCAAATAATTTCCAACGTATTCAACGAATAGTCCATCAACACATTGATCTGATTTAAGGTTATTACCGCATTATACAAAAACGAGCTTTTATACTTGCTGTTTTTAATACGAGGTATGGTGTAAGCTTTGCAACGTATGTGATGCAGACCTTCTATTTAATAAATTGTAAAGAAAACAAGTTTTTCGTTAATTAGCTATTTCTTTAAATACAGCAAATAAATACTTCATTCTGCATTTAATATTTAAATTATATAGATACAAAGTAACGTGGTCTCGAAGAGGAACATGGTAACGAAGCGAAATCATGCATCTTGCACTTTCTACTTTACTTTTTGTAACAGAAATTAAACTATTATAGTAAACACAACACCCATATTCCAAGTGGAGATATGAAAGGCATTTTAGTAAAGTCAATGTGATACTTGCAGTGATTTCAGCTTCAGATATGAAACGTTATTAAGCTTATTGATTTACAAATCATTTATCATCATTTACACGGCTCTTTGAATGAATTAAATAGTCACATTAGATCGTAATTACTATGTAGTTACTAGTTTTAGCTTAAGTACAGCATCCCAGTGCCATGTAATTGGAATACTTGCATTCTGTATGGTATCTGGCTAAACAAATAAATAAATAAACAAAAAGTAAGTTTGTTTTCGTGTTTTAATGTTCAAATATTCCCAGAAACGAAATTTCGTCCAGATCGGATATTTTTCGTGCCCCCGTTTAGCAATCTTGTTGCAGAAATGGCATACCTAAATACCTTAATTCCATAATTCAGTCCTATTATATGTTATGGTTGTCGAAAAAAAGACCACCTCACGGCATAACTATTTGAGTGTTATCAAAGAATTACTCCCACGCAATTGGGGGTTGTCAAGTTCAACTTTGGCAACTTGCAATATTGATTCACACGCAATTAATTAGAATGCATCATTGTGGGTAAACATTTTAACTTTTTGTAAACACAGTTGTGCAATTAAATGTAACGCAATTAATAAAATAATGAAAGTTATTTAATTGCACCAGATATTTTCCATTATGATGGCATGACTACTTAAAAAAAGTCATACATTTCTCTAATCTCTAATCACTAATTAATGGCAAATTTTCTTAGGTTTTTGTGCCATGTGATTTGTAAGTAATTGCAGACGAGCATCGATATATGTAAATCTTGCCCGTCCTTGTATTCTCACTCAATTTTTGCCTAACCGTATCATTATATAATTAATGTTTAATTATGAAAGAAACTTTCTAATTCTATAGATAATATTATAA